TCACATCCAGCCCCAATAAGTGCTTCTTGACCTCATCTCTTGTAATTTTGAACCTTTCCAAGGTCACCTGGTTTGCTGCCATCTCTCCTAGCGCCGTGACTTCTCCCGTGTTCTATTGTAAAGACCTCCTGGAACCTTTTGTTGAGTTCTTCAAACACCTCTTTGTCATTCATTGTGTACCTGTCCTCGCCTACCGTAAGTTTCAGCACCTGTTCCTTCACTGTTGTTTTCCTCCTGATGTGACTGTGTAGTAGCTTTGGTTCGGTCTTGGCTTTATTAGCTCTATCATTTTCATACCTTTTCTCAGCTGCTCTTCTCACACTAACATACTCGTTCCTGGTTCTCTGGTATCTCTCTCTACTTTCTGATGTTCTGTTATTACGGAAGTTCCTCCATGCCCTTTTGTTCAGCTCCTTTGCTTTCATACATTCCATATTAAACCACGTATTCTTCCATTGCCTCTCTGTTTTTTCAAGTCGGGCTGGGACAAACCTGCTTACAGCCTCCTGACACTTTTGGGTGACATAGTTCATCATGTCTTGAAAGGACTTAGTGGTGAGTTCTGTATCCCAATGTGTATCCCTTAGGAATTTATTCATCTCATCATAGTTTCCCTTTGTCGACTGTCCTCTCCTGTTGCTCCTGGTCAATGTTGTCCCCATGTGGCCTGATATTCATATTCTTCCTGTACTTCTCACTGACTATCAATCAGCATATACAACGTAGCATACTTTCTACAAGGTGCGCACACTTTGGGAGATTGATCACTATGATTGCTATATTACTGCTTCCCAAAACACTATACTAGCCAAGTCGTCCGACCTGGTTGAACTGTCCCATGGTATGACCCAGATGTTGCCGCCACTCAACCCTATTTTGTCCTTAACTGATCAAATGCTATAGGAGCTTATTATACACTGGATCACTGCGTTTGTGTACACTTCTGTGACAAGAAACGATGTTTCTTATCTCTGTAACACTTCTTATCTCTGTAACACTGTAACATGTCTTGAGATAATTGACGTTAGTTCGCAAGCGCCCTCCTGACACGTGTCTCTCTCACCACTCTCCTCTCATGACTCGTGTGTGTGTGTGTGTGTGTGTGTGTGTCTGTGTGAATATGTAGTAGACATAATATAGGACAAATAAAATGGTTAGAAAGGTGGGGTCCAAGAGCTAAGAGCTCAATTCTGCAGATTAACAGTTAATAATTCAATTAATAATTCCAATTAATAATTACAAATAGTAAATACACACACGCACAAGCACAGCTCCCAGAGCTAGATAAGTATTCAGTCCTAGACGAGAAACTACTATAATTATTGGCGTAACAGTAGAGAAAGTAAGATATACAGACAGCCTCATAAGATGTAACTAAAGCTACTAGACCAGATTGAGTATCACCATGGGTTTTAAAGGAAGCAGCACAAGCCCTCAGTATACCTCAAGCACAAATAACTAATGAGTCACTTACACAGGCCCAGCTTCTGGAAGAAGGTAAATATAGTGCCAATCTACAAGAAAGAAGATAGAGAAGAGGCACTTAACTACACACCAGTGTCATTCATAAGCATCCCTTGAGAAGTACTTGAAAGAATTATAAGGATTAAGACTAGTTGCAAACATGGAAAGAATTAGGTTTATATCACATTAGGTTTGTATCGTGCATCTGGCAAGGATCTTTAAGTCATTCACAAAACAAAAGTTTCCCAGTTGGCGGAAAAAAACAAATGTGGTATCAATTTTCACGAAAGGAGACAGAGAGAAAAAACATTCAACTACTGACCACTATCACTGACAAGCATCTCCGGCAAAGTACTTGAAAGAATAACCAGGTTAAGTCTGGTTACACCTTTAAAGATAATTAGGTACATAAACACCAACGGAAAGCGGAAAGGCCAGGCATGGGTAAGGAATTACTTAAAAGGCATGAGTCAGTGAGTAACAGTCAGGGCTGAGAAGTCCGACTGTCGAACCTAGTAGAGTACCTCAAAGATCGGTGCTGGGACCAGCTCTATTTGTAATATACGTAAAAGACATGTCTACAGGCGATGTCTGTTATATATGTCGATGTTTGCGGATGACACCAAATTAATGAGACAAGTTGTGACAGATGAGGATTGTAGGATACTTAAAGAGGATTTAAACAAGCTGCTGAGAAGGTCGGAAAAATGGCTACTAGAGTTCAACACAGCAAGTGTAATGTTATGCAAATGGGACGAGATGACAGGAGACCAAAGGGACACTACTCCCTAAAGGGAAACGACCAACAGGTGACGATTCGAGAAAGGGACCTGGGAGTGGATGTAGCACCAAATCTAACTCCTAAGGCACATATAAATAGGATAAAGGCAACATCATACTCTATGATAACAAAAGTTAGAACATCATTCAGAAACCTAAGTAAGGAGGCATTTAGAACGCTTTACACTGCCTACATGAGACCAGACTTAGTGTATGCAGCCCCAGCACGGAGCCCCAACCTGAAGATACAAATTAGGAACCTGAAAAATGCTCAGAAGTTGGCGACGAAGCTCGTCCCAGACTTATGAGCAACGGGGTATGAAGAGCGACTGAAAGAACTGAACGAGACGACGGGAGAAAAAAGGGAGGGAGTGAGAAGATATGATAGCTACATATAAATTACTTAGAGGGATTGAATGAGTGGAAATAGATGAAATGTTCACACTGAATATCAACAGAACAAGGGGGACATAGATGGAAGTTGGAAACTCAGATGAGTCACAGAGATGCTAGAAAGTTTTCATTTAACGTAAGAGTAGGAAGAAAACAGAATGAAATAAAGGAGCAGGTTGTACTAGCAGACTCTGTTCACTATTAAAAAATGTGTATATGATAGGTAAATAGGAGAAGAGTTACTACATTCAACAGCTGACTGTGTGGAAACTATTCCCACTTATGACATAATTTAACATACAATAAAATATATAATAATATACTGTAATGAAAATTCGTCTTCTGTTAAGCTTAAATGACTAAATACGACTTATTAACATTTAAACTGAATATTTATGAGGATTTACTTCAGTTAATACAATATTTACTTATTATGATAGAATTAAGGACTGATGTAACATTCATGTCGTCAGTCCGTTCCACATCATCACGAGAATTAAGCAACTGAATTATGACACTTATAACTCTTAGAATTATGACATTATAACACTTAAAATTATGACACTTATAACACTTATAATTATGACATTATAGCACTTAGAAATATGACACTTAGCTAAACTCAGCATTCGTGAATAAATAATTAAAGAGTAAATAAATTTCAATACCTTACAGATTATTTTAAATAATTTACCTAATTCGATCCTGGGCGTATTTTAATTAAACAGACATTTTTCCTGAGTAAATAAATATTATCTCCTGTGTGAGTGAGGGAGGAGGAGGAGGAGAAGGAAGAGGAGGAGGAGGAGGAGGAGAAGGAGGCCATTGTGTAGCAAAAATAATTGTCGTGTTGTCTTGGCTCCTGCGGTAGTTTGGATTCTGTTGACTTGTTGATGGCTAGGAACATGGATAAATTTACCAACCAACACCAAATATTGTCAAGTCTGTTCTGAAGATTACCAGCTGTTTACGTCTCACAATATGCTAAATATCTTGTTTAGTGGCCATTAACTCCAGATAGATTATGTATGTGAGCATCGTTATGCTGCAAGATCACAACTGCAAGAATCTAGGAATTAACATCGAACTTAAACTGTTAATAAGTGAATTAGTGATATTCAATATCTGGTGTTTCAAATATATAACTAAACTAACAGTACCCGGCCACGCGTTGCTTTCGCTCAGCAACGCATGTGCGTTGCTGAGCCACAGCAACCTTCCCTGTCCCTCAGTCCTCCCCACCATTCTCCCCTCACCTGTCTCCTCGACCCTCCAACCATTCCCCACTCCACCGTCCCTTCGTCCTCCCACCATTCCCCACTCCACCGTCCTCTCTTCCTTCCAACCATGCCCCACTCCCCTGTCCCTTTGTCCTCCTTACCATGCCCCACTCCCCAGTCCCTTTGTCCTCCCCACCATCCTCCTTTCCCCCATCCCCTCGTCCCCACCATCCCAAACTCCCCCATCCCCTCGTCCTCCACACCATCTCTCACTTCCGTCTCCTCATCATCCCTATCATTCCCCACTCCCTCGTCCGATGCCTTCCCAAATGGTCTGAAGTTTCCTTTAGAAAATTGGGAACATGCAGTAATCTGATGTTCCCCTCACTGAAATATATGAAAACAGTTAAAAAATTTGTGATTTACTGAGTTTTATGTTTCTAAGAAGTTTATTATATTGATAACGAGTTTTGCATTCATCCGATGTTTATATGTTCATGCCATAATATCCCAAGTTGCGGAATTACAAATTTTTTTGGCGACTGTGAACAAGTTTCATGTTACAAGATGGGGCAAGGTTCAATGGTGTCCAACATTATATTGAATGATGTTCAAGACCCCATTTAATCTTTATAGTTAATTGTGTTTGTAACAAATGTTTGATGTTAGACAACTTTGTTTTCTTTTGTTTCTGTGCAGCCGGTCCTCCTAAGATTTCCCAACGTCAAAAACTGCCATAATAAAGTATCCTTATCCTAACCTATCAGAGGGCCCAACACAGAAAACGGTAAGCCCTTGGTAAGCCTTCTGTAACGCATGGTAAGCCTCACGTAACCCTTCGTGAGCCTCGTGTAATCCAATGTACGTCTCGTGTAACCTATGGTATGCCTCATGTAACACTTGGTAAGTCTCGTGTAACACTTGGTAAGTCTCGTGTAACACTTGGTAAGTCTCGTGTAACCCTTGGTAAGTCTCGTGTGGTAAGCCTCGTGTAACCCTTGGTAAGTCTCGTGTAACACTTGGTAAGTCTCGTTTAACCCATAGTAAGTCTCGTGTAACCTATGGTAAGCCTCCTGTAACCCATGGTACCCTACAAGCACAACAACAACAACAATAATAACTAACAATATAAAGGTAACTCACTGTCCTGAAGCGTCACATTCCAGCAAGATGTGGAAGGGCCATAACCTGCGTCAGTGGCGGCTGCCACACTGACCGTCACTTTTGTGTAGGGTTTGAGGTTTCTTATTCGGTAGTGATATCCTTGGACATTGACGGTACCTGAGGTGTTCTCATCGTCATTCCAGAGGACGTTTGACGTCCAGTTAATGTTGTGGTTGGTAATTGTACACTGAATGGATGGATCACTCCAGTAGGCACTTAACGAGGTGGTATCAATGTTGTCAAACCAACAGCTCGGTGGTGCTGGTGGTACTGTGGGAAAATGGTGAGATTCAATCCGGTTACCAACAATACTTAAAATGTTAATTTGTTTGTTCTTATTTATAAAAGAAGCACAATAAATACAATAAGAAATCACGTCATACGATGAACAAAAAAAAACCCACACACGGGCAACAAATTACAAACAAGGAACACCAAACATGGTTACTTAAATCCTAAAACAGTAAGACAGAAACAGAAAATTAGACAGCACAAAACAGGGAATAAATAACACACACAAACACAACCAGAGACGCACAAAAAACATAGCAATGAACAAAGAAACACATAAAACAAAACAAGCCTGAGGAGCCACACAAAAACAATGCTCACAAACAGTACCGGAACCGGGATGCAGAAAAAACAGACCTCTATACATAAAATGAACCACAAGAAATACAATGAGAAAATACATGACACAGTAAAGAAGAAAAGCCCACAGCCACACACCAGAACAAACACCGGAATGTGCAGGAACCAGAAAAACATACCACATCCACACACCCAAACCCACAAGCAGAAACACCGGAACACACAGGTACCGGGAAAAAACCCTCACACGCCACCACCAACCCCACAAACACACGTACAGACACAAGCATAACACTGTAACACAAAAGAATCGGGGTGCAACAGGAACAAAGTTAATAATAATAAGAATCCCCATATTTCTCTGCGTAATCCACCTTCGGATACGGCATAATGTAGGCATCCCAAATTAACCACTCTCGTTCGGTAGGGCGGGCATCTCCATGACATTACGGGCGCATCATAAACTTTGGAACCACTATGTCAGGCGAAAACCCGGGCGGAGGCGGTCGCCCCTGAGCAGAGGATATCGAAAACGAAGGCTGAGGCTGGAAAGGCGGCATATCGCCGCTGACGAAACAGGAGACATTGAAGACGAAGGCAGAGACTAGAGAGGTGGCAACACTGCCGCCGATGGAGCAGGTTGGCGGGGGACGGAACCCACCGGGCGAGCATCCTTCTTCAGGACAAACACCAACTCATGATGCTAACTAACATCCTCGGCAGGGGGGATAACCCCCCACGGGGATGCTCACCAACATCCTCGGCAGGGGAGGGAACACCATCCATGGGGAACTGGAACAAACAGATGCAGGCGAGGTCCCCGCACTGGCCACCCAACGCCTACAACAGGGTCTACACCAGTAGTAGGGAGTAAGCGCCACAGAGGAAGTTTCATTTTTTTGGAAATTCCTGTGTAGCGCTTCGGGGGTTTCAGGTGAATTTAGAAATTCCCCTGTAGCGCTTTAGAGGTTTCTTGGTAAATTTGGGCTGTCACAGATTTGGAATTAGGGAATTCTTATAAGAAAAATAATTTCCGAGACTTTAGAAGTTTGTTAAAAGTTCTTATGATAAAAATAAGTAGGAAAATCTTAAAGAAAAAATTTAGAAAATATCGTGTTTGTGTCACAGCATTTCCAGTTAAAATCTACGGACATATTTTGCCTGTTTTCAACATCGGAAATTCGTGTCTGTGACACAGGGTTTTCAGGTAAATTTAGAAATTCGTGTTTGTGAGTCAGGATTTTTCAGGTAAATTTTTCAGGTAAATTTGAAGAAACAAAACTACATCTGAAAGGTTAGGAAAAGGATAATATAATCAACACATACGTCAAAACACAATAAACTACATCTGAAAGGTTAGGTTAAAGGGTTGGGGAATAAGAACATATGATAGAACCTACTAAATACACTAAGATTACTAGCGGTTAGGTAAAGGGGTTGGGAAATAAGAATAAATGATAACAAACATAATAAATACAACTTATGAGCAACTTGATGAACTTTAACAAATAACCCTTGATCTGCAAAAATGACCATTTGAGAAATTAGCCCTTGAAACGAGTAAATTCCCATATATAACAAAAATCCTTTGAAATGGTTAAACACCCAATCTTAAACAAATAACACTTGAAATGCAAAAATGTCCATTTGAGAAATTAACCCTTGAAATGAGTAAATGAATATGAGACAATGATTAACGAAACACAAAAGACAAGCCAGGTTAAGTTAGGTAGGGTAGGTAAGTTAGGTTAAGCAGGTTAAGTTAGGTTAAGCAGGATAAGATAGGTAAGATATGTAAGGTAAGGTAAGTTAGGTTAAGTTAGGTAATGTAGGTTAGGTTAAGCAGGATAAGTTAGGTTAAGTTAGGTAAGTTAGGTAAGATAGGTAAGGTAAGGTAAGTTAGGTTAAGCAGGTTAGGTTATACAGGTTAAGTTAGGTAAGTTAGGTAAGATAGGTAAGGTTAGGTTAGGTTAGGTTAGGTAAAGTTAGGTTAAGCAGGTTAAGTTAGGTAAATGTAGGTAAGTTAGGTTAAGCAGGATAAGTTAGGTTAGGTATGATAGGTAAGGTAGGATAAGTTAGGTTATGATAGGTAAAGTTAGGTAAGATAGGTAAGGTAAGGTAAGTTATGTTAGGATAGGTAAAGTTAGGTTATGCAGGTTAAGTTAGGTAAGATAGGTAAAGGTAAGGTAAGTTAAGTTAGGATAGGTAAAGTTAGGTTTAGGAACGTTACGTTAACTAAGTAACATTGGGTGGAGAGGATAGGTTACGTAGGTTTGAACAGTGTAGTTCAGAGAACAGTTTTAGGGTAAAGTGACTAAGAAAATATATTTTAACAGAAGTGCAGGTTTGGTATGAAAAGCTGAACTAGTTACATTTTGGAGAGAAATTTTATGACTGAAGATGTCTTAAAGAATAACATGATGGAAGAAGGAGAGTTTCTTTGATGAACGAAGGCATCTTAGAGAACAACTTTTTTGGAGAACGAAGGCGAATTAGAGATAACTTTGACGACTCTGAGAATAACTTTGATCAACGAAGATGGATTGGAAAGTTTCTCTAATGAACGAAGGTGACTTAGAGATTAACTTTATGATTTAGAGAACATCTTTGATGTCTTAGAGAACAACATTGATGTCTTAGAGAACAACTTTGATGACTCTGAGAATAATTTTTATGTCTTAGAGAACAACTTTGATGAGCAAGATTAACTTTAGATGTCTCTGAGAATAACTTTTATAACATAGAAATTAACTTTAATGAACAAAAGTGAGTTAGAGAATACCTTTTGATGACTCCGAGAATAACTTTGATGAACAAAGATGTTTTGGAAAGTTTCTCTGAAGAACGAAGGTGACTCTGAGAATAACTTTTGTTAGCTCTTAGAATAACTTTGATGACTTTGAGAATGTCTTTGAGAACATGAGTAGTATTTTGTTAGCTCAGAGAATAACTTTTTGATGACATAGAGAATAACTTTTTATGTCTTAGAGAAGAACATTGATGGCTTAGAGAGAATATCTTTGATGAACGGAAAGTTACTTAGAGAATAACATTTCATGACTGAGAATAACTTTTATGAACGAAGATGTCTGAGATTAACTTTGATAGCTCAGAATAACTTTTGTGGACATGAGAATATCTTTGGATAACTCTGAGAATAACTTTGATGTCTTTGAAACAACTTTGATGTACGAGAGTGAGTTAGAGATTACCTTTGTTAACTCTGAGATTAACTTTGATGAACGAGAAAATACTTTTTGATGACATCGAGAATAATTTTGATAGCTCTGAGAATAACTTTTATGCCTCTGAGATTAACTTTAATGAACGAAGATGTCTTAGAAAGTTTCTCTGACGAACGAAAGGTTACTTAGAGAATAACATTTGATGACTGAGATTAACTTTTTGATGACTCTGAGAATAACTTTGAGGATGCGAGTAAATTTTTGAGTGTTTGAGAGTGTCTTTGATATCTCGAAGAGTGCCCTTGAAGTCTTAAAGGATGTTTTTGATGTCTCAAAGGATGTCTTTGAGTGCAACTTTGATGTCTTTGAGTAAGTCCTTGATGTCTCGAAGAGTGTCTTTGATTTCTCGAAGAGTAACTTTGATGACACTGAGAGTGTCTTTGTTATCTCGAAGAGCACCTTTGACTATTTTTCTTACTTAACGACATATAATTTTTTACGAAAGTGCTGAAAAAAGTTACATTTGACTATTTTAGCTGAGGAAAGACATGAAAAAAATATGACGACAGTGACTATTTTAGTGCTCCACAAAGTATAAATGTCAGTTAAGAACGACGAAGATAGATATCTTTGACTATATTTTCTTACTTAACGAAAACATAATGGCTGTTACGAAATGATGAACAAGACTATTTTTAGTTGAATGACGATGGATAAAGTTAGTTATGAACAGTGTTGGAAAGATTCCTTTGACAATTTTTAGCTAAGAGAAAGGTTGTTTTAGTTAAGAACGGTGTTGAATGAGATTAATCCTGACTATTTTTTGGTTGATTGGATAATAAGTTTAGTTGAGAAATGACGAAAGTGACTATGTTTTAGTTGATTGGCGAAAGATTTTTAGTTAAGGAACGTTACAAGAAAGGTTTGTCTTTGTAAATTTGGAACTGAATAAAATGTACATTTGTTTAAGAACAGGGTTGGTAGAACTATTAAGTTGACTACGAGAATTACTTTGACATAGTTTTGCAAATAAAAACTGGGTGACTAAAATTGTTGAGGGAACTGTATTGCAGTATAATATTATTTGACAAAGAACTAGTTAGTGAATGGAAGAAACAAATTGGTTTAAAGAAACAAAGAACATAAAAAATTGAGGTTAAGTAAGGGAATGAACACAGTGAACATACGGTGAACACAGAAAACATGTAAGAAAAAGTTGATGAATATAGTGAACATGTAGGAAATATGAACTTACAGAGAATATGGAGACATGATAAGGAACATAGAGAATACAAAGAATGAACACTGAACATGTGAAGAACAAGCTAAGAACATTGAGAACATGAATATTGTGTATAAAAGTTATACAGAGAACATATGATGTACATGAAAAACATGACAAAACATAATGAACATACGGGGAAAATGGTAGAAAACAGAAAAAATGAGAAAAACAGGTGAAAAAATTTGAACTGAGCCTGCTGTGAACATTTGTAGAACATGGAGCGAACACAGATAACATGGACAAAATGTGAAGAACACAGCTGAATATAGAGAAAATATGAAAATACAGTAGGATTATTGAAGATTGGATAAGTTGGGGATGAGAAGGTAAGGGAGGGAAAGTGTACGGTGAGATTTTGACCGTGTGATTATTGCTTACTTGGGTAAACAAAAGGTATTGAAGGTAAGGTGTTATATGACCGTGTGAATATTACAGAGCTGAGTACAAAAAGGGTATTAAAGGAAATGATGTTTACTTTGATAGACTGGAGAGAGGCTTGATCTGAAACAGTTTGATGAACATTGAACTAAGTGAAGAACATGAGTTGGAACTCGATAATTTGCTTTGATTTATTTGCAGGGGGGTCTGAAAATGTAGTTGAGTGTTCAAATCTCAGGGGGATTTGGACTGATAGTAATGAATTTACAGGAGTGAACTTGGACAGAGGACAAGAGCTAGAGTTTTATAATTGTTTACATCATATTTACTATGTCTGAAATACAGAGGGTAAAAAAATTTCAGGGAAATTGATGGGTTATTTACAAAGATACGAGAGAGAACTAAGGTGGGGACGAGAGCTGGAGCTCAGTAACTGACTTGATCTTATTTACTACGACTGAAATATGACTGTTTAAAATTTCAGGGGGATTGGACTGCTAGTAGCGAAAATGTGGTCTCTATCAAATTTGGGTCTTCAATTGGACTCTGATTAATTTCGATCATGAACTGGACTCTGAATATTTGGGCACAAAGTGGACTCTGGCGAATTTTCGGTATAAACTGGACTCTGATGAAAATTTGGTAGCAAATGGACTCTGTCAAATATCTGTCGTTAATTGGACTCTGACGAATTTATGTTTACAATTGGACTCTGATGAAATTTGAGCTTAAAACTGTCTCTGACTAATTTTGCTAACAAAGTGGACTCAGAAGAATTTTGGGCACAAACTGGTCTCTGACGAATTTCTGTCTATAACTGGGCTCTGTTCTATTTTGGTCTTCACAGGTGAAATAGCCGTAAATGGATATAAAACTAAATGTTATGGCTAAGTTGTCTGTTTTCCTTAACAAAACATCTAAGACAATATTCTCTGAAAATGGTCTTTTTACAAATTCGGTCATAAACATATAAATAAACTTTTATGATTATTTGAAACTCTGAAATATTTTCTTAAAACTGAACTCTGAAAAATTTGAGTTTCTCCCATATGAACTTTAACAAACTTGTATGAACTTATTTTCATCATAAGAACTTTTAACAAACTTCTAAAATCTCGGAAATTATTTTTTCTCATAAAGAAATCCTTACTTCCAAATCTGTGACTGCCCAAATTTACCTGAAAAATCCTGACTCACAAACACGAATTTCTAAATTTACCTGAAAACCCTGTGTCACAGACACGAATTTCCGATGTTGAAAACAGGCAAAATATGTCCGTAGATTTTAACTGGAAATGCTGTGACACAAACACGATATTTTCTAAATTTTTTCTTTAAGATTTTCCTACTTATTTTTATCATAAGAACTTTTAACAAACTTCTAAAGTCTCGGAAATTATTTTTCTCATAAGAATTCCCTAATTCCAAATCTGTGACTGCCCAAATTTACCAAGAAACCCTAAAGCGCTACAGGGGAATTTCTAAATTCACCTGAAACCCCCGAAGCGCTACACAGGAATTTCCAAAAAAATGAAACTTCCTCTGTGGCACTTACTCCCTACTACTTACACCAGGGTCCACGTCACTCGCTGGAACCATACCCGCCACCTGCACTAACCTCGCACTTCACAGAGGAAGAGCCCTCAGAGCCCTCAACATCACATTATGCAGCCCACTCACGAAGTGGCGACACACTCCTAGCTGTCTGAGAATGCTTTGACGCTTTTTGAAACTGTCGCCACTAGCAGGAGGCACCAGAAAAGAGTCTTCGGCCGGCCGCCCCACAGCTGAGAAAGCGTGAAGCACAGCAGCCTTGATGACAGAGGACACAAGGCCATACAGGTGAAACTGGAACTGAAGAGAGGGCAGGCGGAGCTGGCGGAAGTGAAAGGGCCAGCATAGGTGAGGGAGGCTGCAGAGACGCAGGATCCGGTAGAGGAGAACGAGCCTGCAGAGGTGAGGGAGCCTGCGGAGGTGAAGGAGCCGCCCGAGGCAAGAAAGCCAACTGTGGGGGTCATGTCCTCACACACCACCACCCCTACACTCACACCACCAACCATACTCATGGGCACACAGGCTGAGTAACCCGGTAACACCAGCGGGGCAGCAGACAGCAGGGACAGCCACCAACGGGGAAAAATCCTCCTCCCGAATCTAATTAACTGGTGCAGCCGTCACACCAGTGCAGACCGCCGCCTGGTGCTCCTCGAGTCCCCCTCCGAAAATATGTCCTGGGCTGCCCCGCATAGAAGGCGCGCATGGTGTAGCCCATCAACGTGACAGTTGACGGAACAGGCGACTTGAGACGCAGGGCGAGGGTCCTGGTACTGCACGAGACCCCATTCCAAATGCCAGAAGAGATGGTATTCAACCGGAGGGGATACCACGGTCCCATATTTTCCAGAATATCACTGAAGCAGGTCTTCTGGGAACTCAAAAGTGACCCCCCATGCAGTGCCACATATGTGAGTAAGCAGCAGCAGACGGAGACAGAGACGGTTTCACTTTCATCAGGAAGGGTAATTGAACGTACATCGTAACGGGTCACTAAGTCGTTATAAACAGCTGGTGAACAGAACGTAACGAGTGCCCTGTGGTTCGTGACGAGCTATACACCAAACACATCCACTTCCTGAATGCGGAACATATCCATAATTACTACTTACACGGCAAGGTACGACGCCCTGCCAGAGAACTCCAGGCCAATTGTCTCTGAACGCCGAATAGGGGGAAGAGGCTGCCCTATGCCGCCAAACAAATGACCGGAGGGCCGCGCTTTCGATCCAGTCTCTCTGATAGTCGAGGCAAGACTGGGAGCAGGGCGCCTGGATGCACCCTGACCCGGCGCCGGTCAATCCAAATTGTTAAGGGTATATTTTGTATATTGCAGCTTGGAAGCCGAGTCTGAACTTCTTATTAGAAATGGAAGATTTATGCTCTGTTTGTCAGCCCGTCCTCATCAACCAATCCGTCCACAGACCAAGTCCATTCCATCCAGCGGTCGACCTCAATGTCGCATTCATTAATTTGCTGTTCATTCAAAATAGGAATTTTCTCAAATATATATTAATATTGTTGTATGTTAGCGTATTGCACATATTTAGGCATTGGTTAGGTTAGGTTAAGCGTTTAGGGTTTTTGGCGATTATTTGTATTTGTAGTACGGGGTGAAGCATTTACAGCATTGTGGTTAGAACAAAAGTCGTCAGCAAAGCACTTGTTCTAGAAGTGCTCGGACGTCATCATTTGTGAGTCGTGTGTAAACTGATTTTCATTTTCAACACCACCAAGTTCGAGTTGCACTTTCACCCTGTTGTGTAACCACTCTCTAAATCAGCGTAACTAAAAAACCTTACCTAACGTTACATAGACCTACCCTAACCTAACCTAACCTATTCTATCCTAACCTAACCTAGACCAAACTATATATAAACCCATATTGTATTCTAATAATAATTTACATTCAAAAGTTTCTCATTATTTTGTACGGAAGATTCATGCTGTCAGTTGGTTGTCTACTGAATATGTCAAAAACTGCAATAACTTATTCAAATCTTAAGTCAGTATTTGACTTATTGCTGAGGCGTGAGGATGAATAGGCTAATACATATAATTACAACAGAACCTAAACACCTAACCTAACCTAACATATGCCTAAGTATGCAGTGTATAATAATAATTAGTAATAAAAAAAAATATTTGGGAAAATTCCTATTTTGAAGGAAGAACCTGTTAAGCTTTATGAATGTGTCATGGAGTTGGCCGCTGGTTGGAATTAACATTTGCTGAGGACGGGGTTGCTGTTTGGATAATATTTGTTAAGCATTAGGAATAAAATATATAATTAAAAATACATAAAATAATACAAACATTGTTAAAATGCATTTCGTTCAAACTAAAGAACAATAAAAAACTAAGGGAATTTCTGGCGCCAGAGTTTTGCTGGTATTACCTGAAATGTCTGTGTAGCCGACCGTAGAAGCAGGGTAGTTATATCCGATACCTTCGTATACAGAGGTCACGGTTATAAAATAACGTGTACAAGGTTGCAGTCCTTCTATAAAAAAGAAGTTATCGTGGGTAACTTTGTTATTGATTCCATCTTCTACCGTATAATAAAAAGGTTCCTCCTCTGGCGGGTCCCATGACACATTAAGAGCGTTGATCAGTACTTCCACCACTGCGACGTTCTCTGGCGGCCCACGACCCGAGGGAGACATTGTTGCTATTACTGCCACGTTCTCTGGCGGCCCACGACCCGAGGGAGACAATGTTGCTATTACTGCCACGTTCTCTGGCGGCCCACGACCTAAGGGAGATAATGTTGCTATTACTGCTACGTTCTTGGACGGCCCACGACATATGGGCGACTATGTTGTTGTTATCAATGAGAAAAACAGTAGGAACCATGAGAAGAATTCGAAGATATGCACTGGGCGCTCCAAAACACACGTCTTAAACCACGATGTCAAAATAAATGTAACCTGGGATTCAACTGAATCCTCTAGGGTTCTTGCGGCATTTTCTTGTAAGAAATCATGGTTTCACGCGCATCGTCCCCATATCGTCTGGCGGTGGTATAGGAGTGCCACCTGAACGCTTCTCTTTAAATGCACAAATAAATCCCATTACATCCCGTTAATGTGATTACTTTGTGCGTTGTTATCACTTTCACATTCTTGAGCAGCCCACAACCAGACAGAGATTAGCATATAAATTTTTTTGAGATATCTCCTATCTATATTTTCCCAACTTACTAATATGAATGTCTAATCTACGCTTGAAACAATACAGCTGTCGCTGGTTTGTTATGTTATTCTGAAATAATTTGATGAAGATTGTTAATACCGTCAAAGTCCTTTATGTGAGGGTAAACCAAGAAGTTACTTGAGACTGTTTCTACCACATCATTAAATATTATATGATATCCAATTAATATTTTGTTCTGGAAAATCTGATATTATCTGAGTGTAGTGTTCTTCCCTTTGGTCATAGTCAGCAGCGACGTGTGCGTTGCTCAGGAGCCTGGGCAACACCAGACTGAAGGACTGTGACCCATACAGACTTATGTCTTAATAAGTAGGAAAAAGTTAAAAAACATGATGCTAAAAAGGTAAGAAGGTAAGAAATTTGTAATAAATAAGACTTAAGAAATTAAGAGGAAAATAAAAAAAAAGTTCGTAGGCTACCAGACACGCACACTCGAACAGACTAACAGACCCACACACTATAACAGACTAACAGACTCACACACTCGAACACACTAAAGACCCACACACTTATCTCTTGAAAAAGAGATAAGGAGGAAAAAAGTAACTATGAAGTTCGTATAGCAGGGCAAGCAAAGGCAAATTCTAAAGTTTTTTTTTCAGTTATATCAACAAAGATTAGGGAAATGCGAGGTCCATTAAAAACTGAGACAGGTCAGATAACGGATAACGACGAAGAGCATTTTTAATAAATATTTTATCTCTGTATTTACTAAAGAAGAACTTAACTCTCTGCCATCAGCCGAACAAGTCTGTGTGGTTGGAAACGAAGAGAGCATGACTAGTTTAACAATTACCAGGGATAATGTTATTAAACAAATAGTGAAACTCAAACCAAACAAATCCCCAGGGCTGGATGAAGTGTTTGCCAGGGTGCTTTATAAAAGCCACGAGGAACTTTGCGAGCCTTTGTTTACCATTTTTAATAAATCATTAGAGTCAGGCAGAGTGCTAGCGTCGTGGAAGGTAGCTTATGTGGTACCAATTTTTAAGAAATGAGATAGATCACTTGCATCAAGCTATTAGCCAATTAGCCTTACGTCTATTGTGGGAAAGTTAATTGAATCGATAATTGTTAATACCATTCGTCTTCATCTTGAAAAACAAATTAATAAATGATTCACAACATTATTTTACAAATGGTCATTCATGTTTAACAAATTTGCTATCATTTTATTCAATCATAGTTGAGGCAGTTGATAGTGGTAAGGTTTGTGATGTTGTGTACCTTGACTTTAGCAAAGCTTTTGATACAGTGCCACATGAAAGACTGATTAAAAGGATAGAGGCTCATAGTACTGGGGGTGGGGGGAGGGGGGGTTGCTATATCAAGTTGGATTAGGGCATGTCTTTGAATTGGAATGGAATTGGAATTATAGAATTATGTCACCTTTTATCCTGAGAGCGCATACGAGTGAAAAGCGACGTAATTTGTAAGAGAACGAGTTTAACCACTACCTCCACCCACACGAGGAAAGGCAGCCATGTTCCCTACAGTAACATCTAGTTGACATAATCAAGGAAATTAAATTGATTATACCTGAATGCAATATTTCCAGGACAGACCTGATGTCGCGGACCCTCGTTACCGACAGTTTTTCAGTGATACAATCCCCTGGGAGGAAAGATGCGTTCACGTGTTCATTAAGAGTTAGGTAAGATGGTATCACCCTTTTGACGCTCAGGAAGAAGTTGTGTTGTGTTGAGAACAGTTAGTGTGAGACAAGTTATCTTAATGACACTCAGGAACTGTGAGTCTGGAGATGAACTACGTCTAACAACCACCCACCTTGTCAGGTCCTACATTATCACTCACCAGCTTCCAGTAAGTATTCTTTTTCTTTCTGAAAAGAGAATGAAAAAACATATCACTAACTTTGTGATAATCTTTTATGCAAATATTAATTACAATAGAGGGGTTGTGAGCATTTCAATAAATTACAAGTAATCTTATTCTAACATTTATGTTGGTTGAAGTCTTGACCAGACGCAGGCTCTGAATACTTTACAGTTCCGATGTAGGAGAACAATGGTTATCAAGCTGTCATGAAACACTATAAATAGAAGATCTTATTTTCTGGACAATGTGAGAGCTCCTTGATACACATTATCTTTATGGACCGTTGCCTCACGCCACACCTGCTGCTCGGGACTCCTGGTTCAACCTTGACGCCCAGCGGACGTCTGGACACCTCCTCCGCCTGGGAGCTGCCGGATCACGTTCTGTTTTTGCGATTTGGATTTGATACTGCAGTTTGCCATTCCTATTCCACGGTCTGGTTTGTATGACGCCTGGCGCATATATCGCCTCTGGTCACATGATTGTTGATAGATTTTTTTGGATGTGTTCTGGCTGTTTCTCCCGGCGGGGTCACTGTGTCCAGCGCCGGCTTGGCCGAGAGGTGCCGGGGGTTGGTGGGTCTTGATGGGCTCCTGGTGAATGGATCGCCCACCTCAGGCGTGATGGGCGGCCGGCTTCTGCTCTTCCAGGGGGCACTGGATGACTTTTGCGTTTTAGCTGGTGGCCGAGTTTTTAGTTTTGCTACCCAGTGTTCTCTGTGTGGGGCGGGGCCGGTGCTTGTCAACTCGAGGGGACTCACGAGGCTCCC